ACAAGAGTATCCGCTCATCGGTGAAGGGCCTACATGGATCTTTTTGTTATTGTCGTTTGACCTTTGTTTTCTAAATTGATATAATTCACATACCATAAAACTCACCCTTTAAAAGTGTGCAATTCAGTGGTTGTCAGTATATCCACAAGGTTGTGCACCTATCACCACCATCTAATTCCAGAACATTTTCCTCGCCCCAGAAAGGACTCCTGTACCCATTAGCAGTCAATCTCCCTGCCCCCTCTTCCCAGCTGCTGGCAGCCAGCCATCTACCCTCTGTTTCTATAGGTTTGTCTATTCTGGACATGTCATCTACACGGAAGCATATAATATGTGGCTTTTTATGTTTGTCTTCTTTTTTTAAGATTTTATTTATTTTAGAGCGCGCGCGAGAGAGCATGAGTGGTAGGGGCAGAGGGAGAGCGGGAGAGAGAATCTCAAGCAGGCTCCATGCTGAGCATGGAGTGTGACATGGGGCTCGATCCCAGGACCCTGAGATCCTGACCTGAGCTAAAACCAAGAGTTGGACACTTAACCGACTGTGCCACCCAGGCGTTCCCTATGTTTGTCTTCTTTCACTTAGTGTAATGTCTTGGATGTTCATCTACGCTGTAGTCTGTATCAGTATTCCATTTTATGGCTGAATAATATTCTATTCTATGTATGTACCATAATTTGTTTATCCAGTCATCTGTTGTTGAAAGTCAGGTTGTTTCCAATTTGGGAACGTGAGGAATAATGCTGCTATAAACATTCGTGGATAAATTCTTGTGTGGACACATGTTTCCATTTCTTTTGGGTGTATACCTAGAAGTCGAATTGCTGGTTAAATTTAGAGTTACCGACCGGGTAACTCTAAATTTACCTTTTTGAAGCCCTTCCGGACTGTTTTCCAAAGCATTTCCATTTCCACTTTACCTTCCTACCAGCACTGTTTGAGGGTTCTGATTGCTCCATGTCCTTGTTACACCTTGTTATCATGTAGCCATTCTAGTGGGTGTCAGGTGGTATCTCACTGTGTTTTGTCATTTTAGAAAAAGATCAAAGCCATCCATGTATATAGTGTAAAAAGATAAGGCTTAAAGAGTAAATGCCCCATCTCTCTCCAGAACCATTTCCATGAGGCAGATACTTTAAAATTCCTTCAGCGGTTTCTTCTGGTATTTATCTTCAATTCCTGGTTATAGGCTTCTACTGCTGCTTCTTAAAATCAGTTTCCAATATTCTCTCTTGACTTCCACCTCTGGAGGATGGGCATTCCGCTCTCTTCTCCCCAGGTGCACGGACACACACTCACTGTATCCTTCCATCTTCAAAACAGGATTATAATCTCCATGTTGGGATAAATCAGTAATTGGCACTTACACTGCTATGACTACGTATTCACAGCCGTGTGGTGTGCGGAGATCATATTTACTTCATCATACTTTAACCCTTGGATGGCAGATGACATAGAGCAAAAATCTGCCTCCTTTCTTCACTGCCACAGTTTTCTGCATATTAATTACTACTTCACCCTCAAATTCTGCAAGAAAACTAAAAATCTCTGGGCATATTCAAACACATGGATATTCCACTGTGTCTTTCTTGGTCCTTTCCTGTTTTTGTTTTTGGTTCTGGGAGACATTCCTCCAGGGCTCTCCGCTCTCCTGCTCTCACCGGGAAGGCCTGGTTAGGGGCCTACTGTGTTGCTGGGGCCCTGGGACTCCCCTTCATCGTCCCGACTTCTCTCCTCAGTGGCCTCGCCTGCTTCCTGGATCCCGTGTCTCCCTCTAAGTTTTATCCCTCAGTTTACAACAGCATATCTTCCAGTAGCTTCTTTATTCCTCCATTCCTGCCTTCTTTTGTGTTAAATAGATATTTTTAAGGGTACCACTGTAATTCCCTTGTTTCTTTTAGGGTTTTGTTTTGTTTTATTTTCTTAGTGATTGCACTGGTGATTCCAGTTAACACCTTAACGTAAAATAACCTAGGTTAGACCAATACCAACTTCATGTCAATAGCATACAGAGTTGTTTATGGCTGCTTTCATGCTACCACGGTGGAGGTGAGTAGTTGTGACAGACCGTGCATACGTAAGGGCTGTGAAGCCTAAAACTTCACTATCTGGCCCTTGATGGAAAACCCTTGCTGATCCAATCCAGTGCCCTGATCTTTCGTGATCCCATTTTTGGGATCGTTTCTCCTCTGAGCTCCCACTGGGTTTCACCTTTCTTTTTTTTTTTTTTTTTCAAGATTTTATTTATTTGAGAGAGAGAGAATGAGAGAGAGAGAAAGCACATGAGAGGGGGGAGGGTCAGAGGGAGAAGCAGACTCCCTGCCAAGCAGGGAGCCTGATGCGGGACTCGATCCCAGGACTCCAGGATCATGACGTGAGCTGAAGGCAGACGCTTAACCCACTGAGCCACCCAGGCACCCCGAGTTCTTTGATTTGTATTTGACACCAGGGATGGGGACGCAACATGGGGCACGGTGTGGGTGGGCACCGTTGTGGGTGGGCAGCTGCCCGGGACCACTCCCAGGATGGGCCCACCTGAGCTCAAAGGCCATCACGAGGCAGACAGAGCCAACAGGGAGAGCGCGAGCAAGCTCCAACTACGCGGCTAAACCTCTGCATTCGGCTGCACCGTCAGACTTCCCAGTCAGGTGCACCAAATAAATCCCTGGTTCTGTGTAGGCCTGAGTTGTGCTTTGGTGCTTATGAGCAGAAGCAGCTGTGACCCACACAGACACTGGAAGCAGAGGCTGAGTCTCTTTTGGGGGATATCTTCATATCTTTACTGTGTCTCTTTTGCATACATCTCATATAATCTTTACAAGAGTTACAAGAGGCAGGTTACTATCCTCCTTTTACAGATTTAGAAACTTGCCCAGGACCATAATGCTAGGACGTAACAGAGCTGGGGGTTCAAAACTCAGCCCATGGACTCCAGACACCTCTTGTATAAGGCGCTGCATTAAGAACAAGCAGGTTAAGTGGACATCTTCATGAGGACCGACATCTTCATGAGGACCCTTCATTTTTAAGGTACAGTTTTTGCCCATCATATGCATTTTATTTTATTTTAAGTAAGCTTTATTTTTTAAATTTTATTATTATTTTTAAAGATTTTATTTATTTGATAGACAGAGAGAGCACAAGTAGGCAGAGCAGTAGACAGAGGGAGAGGGAGAAGCAGGCTCTCCGCTGAGCAGGGAGCCCGATGTGGGGCCTGATCCCAGGACCCTGGGATCATGACCTGTGCAGAAGGCAGATGCTTAACCAACTGAGCCACCCAGGTGCCCTTAAGTAAGCTTTATGCCCAATGTGAGTCTTGAACTCATGACCCTGAAATCAAGAGACATGCTCTACTGACTGAGCCGGCCAGGCGCCCCCCAGGACCCATCATTTTCAGCAAAGAAAGAGTAAATTCTTCTGCTCTAATTCAGGACCTGGACTAGTTTTAGTCTAATTTCAGAACTAGGAAGGAACCTCTTAAATTCAGGTGACTACTTGACAGGATAGAAAAAAAATAATGGTTTCCAAAATGACTCTGTATGAAGGGGATGACAACACCAAGTATAATTTATCAAATACCTGATCAAGCACACTGTGAAAGGCAATCAGGGTGTAATTTGATGTTATAAAAGCATTCCTTGTACTTATCTATTTTTCAAAGCATATTCGCACCCATAACTTCATCAGATTCACCAGGCTCCTTTTTGATAAATGACCCACATCTCAAAGTCTTTTCAAAGCATAAAAACCAAAATATACTTTATAAATAATTACATATTAATTTCTTACAAATAAGAACCCTAAAATGTTTATTCTCCAACTCTAGTTTCGGGTCCCTGACATTTATATACTTTGCTAGTCAGCTCTTCTTTTTTAAAACATTTTTAGTAGGCTCCACATCCAGTGTGGAGACCAACACGGGGCTTGAAGTCATGACCCTGAGATCGAGACCTGAGCTGAGATCAAGAGTTGGCCGCTTCACCAACTGAGCCACCCAGGCAGGCCCCCGGCTCTTCTCAATTCTAGGCCACAAGCAAATAATTTTTATTTTCCCAGTTTTAGAGGAACCCTGAGCTTTTTTTTCTAACTTGTTTCCTTTCCATCCCATTCTGGGCTGTGACTTGTCCACTTAACCTGCTTGTTCTTAACGCAGCGCCTTATACAAGAGGTGTCTGGAGTCCATGGGCTGAGTTTTGAACCCCCAGCTCTGTTACATCCTAGCATTATGGTCCTGGGCAGGTTTCTAAATCTGTAAAAGGAGGATAGTAACCTGCCTCTTGTAACTCCTGTAAAGACTGTATGAGATGTATGCAAAAGAGACACAGTGAGCGTGTGGTAAATGTTAGCTGTTACTATTTGTTGGCTAAAAGAATGAGTTCTGCCAACCAGTGCTCCTTGCTCTTTCATTCCACACGTGAAGCTTTTAAGAACCAGCGACGCTATAGGGTCTACAATCTAAGCCCCATGAGACAGAGACTTTGTCTTTTCATCACTATAGCTCCAGCACCCAATAGATGACTGGCATATAAAAGGGATTCAGTACGTATTTTTTGAATCAATCAATGAATGAATATAGGTAATACAGGTATAATGCTACTGATATTCTGATTTTATGGATGAAGAAACTGAGGCTCAGAGAGGTTAAGTGACTTGAATAAAGTCCCCCAGCTGGTTAGGGAAGGATTAAGATCTAGTCCTCCCACCTGGTTTTTCTTCTCTTCTACCCTATCACCTCCTCGGGCTCTTACCTCATGATCCAAAAATTCAGGTGCAGGATCTTTGTTACTAAATGATGATTTTTTTTTTTTCAAAGATTTTATTTATTTATTTGAGAGCGAGAATGAGAGACAGAGAGAGAGCATGAGAAGGGGAGGGTCAGAGGGAGAAGCAGACTCCCCGCCGACCAGGGAGCCCGATGCGGGACTCGATCCCGGGACTCCAGGATCATGACCTGAGCCGAAGGCAGTTGCTTAACCAACTGAGCCACCCAGGCGCCCCTAAATGATGATTTTTCAAGGGGGCAGACATGATTCTGAAATTTTAAAACCTACTGTGGTATCCACAGCCTTGACTTTCTCGGTGGGAATGTGCTTTGGCACGGCTTCTGTCTCTGACAGCATCACACATCCTTCAGCACCTAAGGTGACGATGACCACGTGGCAGCCCCTTTCCACGAGCATCTGTGCAGCCTGCCCCGCGTCTGCAGGGCTGCCGACCGCCAGGCCAGTTAGGATCTCAGCCTGGGATACAGACAAGTGAGAGGAAACAGCAGTGAGAATAGTAACCTGGGTCCACTTCCAGATTAGATTTGTTTTTCTAGAAAACGTCTCCCTTCTTTTGCGTAACAACCAATGCCGTGGGGAACTCTGATGCATACTGGCCCAGGGAAAGAAATAAAAAGCCCAATAACAATGACAACAAAAATGAGCTCTCAAGGACATTCTTGGGACAACTGGGGAAATTTGAATGTGGCCTGGGTGTTAGAAGACAGAACAGAGTTATTAACACTTTTCTTAAGTGTGATCATGGTATCGTGGCTCCTCTTAGGAGATGTGTGCTGAAGTAGTTAGGAGTCAGGTATCATGTAATCTGCAACTTACTCTGAAACGATTTAACAAAAACAAAAAGAAACACACACAGGGGAGAGAGGCAGCAACATAGCAAATGTTAACAACCATCTGGGTGGACAGTATGTGACTATTCATTGTATTGTTCTTCCAGCTTTTTCTGTGTGTATGTGTGATCATTTTCATCAAAAAGAGTTAGAGGGAACAAAGAATTCTACAGAAGAAAGGAAGAGGGGAGGGAAGACAGGAGAAAAGGGAGGGGCTGCTGACAATGATTTTGATATAAATCATGTCTGTAAATTTCACACCTAAGGCCGTAATTCTTCTAGGCCCCCTCTTGGGCCATAATGCCCTTCTCTTATTACTAGTCACAGCTTTCCACGTTTGCACAACACCCATTTCTTGTGTTTGTTTTTGCTCAAGAAGATGGAAGCAGGGTAGGAGAGGCACTGATGTGTCGCAGAGAGAGCAACGTGCTGACATTTAGATGTCCGCTACTTACTGACTCTGGAACTTTCCCCATGTCATATACAGTCTGTACAATGAGGGGCCTGCACAGGACCACAGTTCTCTCCCAGAGTGTAGAAAGGGCTCTGGCTGAAGTAGGGGTGAAGGACTGTAGCCCTGCTTCCTCATCCCCTAGGCACCCCTTGAGCACCTCTGGGGACCCTCTCTGGTCCTGAAATTAGTGGCTGCAAAATCACTGGACTAGATGAATCATAGGATACTTTTTGACTCAAAGGGTTTATAACCAAATTCTGTCTTTTCTGTATCCCATTTCTTCCTAAGAAAGGGTCTGTCTCTTCCCGTGCCTGCTCTGAACATGCCCAGATTAACCCTTCCTGGGGCCTAGAAGTCACCCCACAATGTCTGCTCCTTCTGGGCTTTGGTCTTGCCCAGCAGCAAGGGTTTCATTAACTTGACCATGTGTCCCTCCCGAACAGTCTTTTCCACAGACCCTTTCTGTCTGAGTTGGCTGTGCCCTGAGGCCACCTTCTGTTTTCTTTTCGTAAGTTTTTTGCTGATCTTCATTACTGAGAATGCTTACATCTGTGGGGTGAGATGGTTCTATTTCCAGAAACACTGAATTCTTGCGGTTTCTAAAAACCTGTTAAAAAACTCTTCTTTGATGAAAGGATCCTGAATGTAAAAGATAATGCAACACCCATGTACGTACCACCTGCTTTTAATAAATCTTTATGTGTTAACTTTATTTGCTTCAGATATTTCTCTTTAAAGGCGGCAGATCATGTTTTTCATAGATGTTATTTGGCAATACGCTCCTTCCCTTAAATATAATTTCATTTGTGCTGATATGCGGAGCTCTTCTTCTGTTGAACTGCACAGTATTCCATTCACTACAAATATATTGCAAATATACTACAGGTTAAAAAAAATCTACTCTCCTTTTCATGGACATCAATTTTTCCATTTTCCCCTTTTACAAGCAACGAAGTATTGGATATTCTTATCACTTATATGTAATCTTTTTTCCTCCGGCTGTTTAAAAATATTTTTGTCTTTATGTTTCATTTTACAAAGTTCCATTAAAATGTATGTTAGTAGAGAGTTATATCCATTTATCTCAGGTGATACTTTTTTTTAAAAAAGATTTTACTTATTTGTTTGAGAGCGAGAGGGAGAGCAAGCGGGAGAGAGAAAGCATGAGCAGGGGGAGGAGCAGAGGGAGAGGGACAAGCAGATTCTGTGCTGAGTGTGGAGCCTGATGGCGGGGCTCGATCCCATGACCCCGAGATCATGACCTGAGCCAAAATCAAGAGTCGGACGCCCAACCTACTGAGCCACCCAGGCGCCCCAGGTGGTACTTTTAATACACTTTTGATCTGAGGACTCATGCTCTTCCTCAGTTCTAGACAGCACCTTGCAGTTTTTCCTCTAATACTGCTTTTCTCCAGTTCCCTCCTTTCTCTTCTTCTTTCATTCCAATTAGATGTATGTGAGAGCCGCTCGAGCTATATTTCATTTCTCTAAATTCCTCCTTAATATTTAAAAAAATTCTTTCTGTGATACTTTCTAGGTGAATTGAGTTTTTCACTTGTTTGTGAATTGATGAATTCTCTTTGAATTCACCAATTCTTCATTCCAGTCTAATGTTTATCTTCCTAATGAGTGTCTTATAGAAATATTTCAAAGGTGTTTTTTCATTTTCAAGATTTCTAATTGATTGGTTTTTAGATTCACATATCGTTGCTTTGATCCCGTTTCTCTTTCACACTTAACTTTCTCTTTTTTTAATGAATGAGAATCTCAATATTTAAAGTCTTTTTTGCATTGTTTCATTATTTGAATTTCATTCATGTTAGACCATTGATTTTGTTGGATAACTCTTGAGCATTAGGTTTCTTCCTTTGCAGGCTCACGTTGCTCTCTGTGAGTTGGGGAATCCCACGCTTCAGCTCCCCCGAGGCTTATCCCTGCCTTTCCAGTGGTTTCGTAGTTGCATCCATCAGGCCCCTGAGGGTCTCTAAACCAGAGCCAGGTGTTATGTTGGCAGTATGGAGTTCCTGTCCTGCTGTCACCAGTGATACTGCCAACCTAGTCATATTCCTGGTCACCAAGTTAGCAGTTGGCTTGATTCCTTCCTGATCACAGGCAGGACCTCTGTCCTGTCTCCTCAGCTTGGGTAGCTTTACATACTGCTGTAGTCTCAGGCAGCAGGCCTAGCAGCTTCCTCCACTTTTTTGGTTAGCAGGGGAGCCTCAGCCCAGCATCTCCAGGGTCCAGCAGTGGGCACTGCTCCAGTCTCCCCCGAGGGGCACATTTTTAGTGCCCATGACCCATTGGAGGTCCCTACCACCTATGCCTGCTTCTAGCACACTCAGGGCTGAATGCTCTAGGATTCTGTTCCCTTTCTGCTCGTGGAGTTATCTTATTTCTGAGCTTGTGAGTATCTTTTCATTGTCTCTTGTATATTTATATATTAATGGTTTGTGTATGGAGCAGAGAGAGGTTTTTTTTCTTCTTTCTTTCTTTCTTTTTTTTTTTTTAGAGAGAGAGCAGTGGGGTGGGGAAAGGGAGAGGGAGAGAGAGAATCTTAAGCAGGCTCCATGCCTAGCAGAGCCCGATGCCAGACTTGATCTCATAACCCTGAGATCATGACCTGAGCCAAAATCAAGAGTCGGATGCCTAACCAACTAAGCCACCCAGGTGCCCCCAGAGAGGGTATCTTAAAGCATGAATTTACATTATTATCATGATTAGAAGTCCTCCACAAGAACATTAAGCTTTTAAAATTTTTCTTTTTTCTATTGAGTGTTTGAGATCAATTTTCTTAAAGACCAAAGTTTGTTCATTTGTTCATTCATTCAAAAAGCACTTACTAGGTGCCAACTATATGCTAGGTACAATATAACAGATGGTAATTTCCAAAGATAACTCCATCAATCTATATCACATCGTAGATGCTCTTTTCACACTGTGACAAGGACAATCTTCTATTGAGAGGTGGGGCGCAAGGGCAGACTTTCCTGCCTCAATCAATAGAATGGGCCAGAAGGGATACTGCGTGACTTTGAAGTAATAAGTAATTTGAGCTGTGATGAGTGTTTGAAGAATAAATATAGGGCTCTGCAAGTATGCGGTAGGCAAATCAGGTGGCAGTGGAGGGTAATCGCACTTCTTATTGGGAAATGGTTACTATTTCCCACAATCCCTTTCTCCTGGCACAAGGCCTGGCCATGGTGGTTGCCCCAAAATATTGTATAGTCTATTGTGATTTGTTAAAATCAGTTTCCTTGTGGCAGTCTTCCTTTTCGTTTACTTCTGTTCTGAGAGACAACAAAAAGGCAGGTCAGGAAATCCTAGAAACATCCAGTCTTTGACCCACATGGACAATTACTATTACAGTTCTTTTATTTATTTATTTATTTATTTTATTTTATTTTATTTTATTTTATTTTATTATGTTATGTTAGTCACCATACATTACATCATTAGTTTTTGATGTAGTGTTCCATGATTCATTGTTTGCGTATAACACCCAGTGCTCCA